AAAATAATATTGCTGATGTAATATGAATGAAAGAAATTATGATGATAATGTTACGTAGCCACTAGAGGTGGTTACAAAGGTGGTCAATTTTCAAAATTGATCTCTCCCAAAAAAAAAAAAAAAAGAAAACATTAAAAAAAGTGGAAATGTTTCACTAGAGATGGTTATTTGTCACTAGAGGTGACATAAAGATGGTTATTTGTCACTAGAGGAGACATAAAGAAATTATTAAAATAAATTTGAAGATAAAAAATGAAGATAATAATTGTTCTAATGCCATATTGGGTATGGTACACATTTCTTGCTTTTGAGTATTTCTTTCTAGAACAAGTTGATCAAATTCAAAAGGAGAATTGGCGGGTTCGCCCTTTTCAAAACTTTGGCCCATACAAATCATGATATTTCATTTTTTTTAAGTAATTTTAATATTGCTTCAATCACATACGTTTGCATTTTTTGAATACTTATTTTTGTAGAAAATATTTTTACTTCAAATTTGATTCTCCTTCGTGTACATACCATTTTTCAAGTTTGTTCTCTAATTAATACATCTTTTATAAAAGAATAAATAACCACCGCGTTTTATCTCTGCAAGAATATTACAAGACTGTTATTATGAAATTTACCGAGTCGTCTACATTTGAAGCTGAGACTGCTGGAACTAGTTTCAATGTATGTGTTTGAGTATGTATAAGTGATTCAGCCACGTTCGTAAAGGTAAAATCAATAACCTCCACCCTATCCTTATTCTGAAACGTAGCCTCATTTCCCCTGATATATATTAAAAAAAAAAAAACTAAGAATAAAACGCAAAATGGACTCACCTCTTGCATTGATATCCTTACTGCCCCATTGAAGGTGGTAAGCGTTGGCATCGCATCTAGCGATGAGATTACCCTTGCTTCCCAGCTCCGTGAACAGCTTCTCTACTACTTGGCCCGGCAGGTCGGGGTTCTCGTAAGGCAGGTACAAGAGATGAAAACGAGAACCCTCCCAGAATGCGTTACCAATTTAACCGCCGTGGCGTCTCCAATGGAGGTGGCGTAGATAGATAGACCTTATTGTTGTAGTGATAAGGCACCTGGACAAGAGATATGTCGACTTCACCCTTGGTGAGGTTTAGGAGAAGTTCGGCAGACATTTTGCAGTGATGCAGATGAATCTGCATGATATTAAATAGCTGCTACGTCTTTCCTTCTACTGCAGCGGCGTTAGACCGAATTGAATCTATCCTGTGCCGAAGTGCAGTTTTCCCTCACGCGCCTTCGCCTTCTGCGCTTTTTGGCAGGGGTTTTAGAATCGGTAGGGGAAGCATTTGATTTTGTTGATGGTACAACCGTAAGAGCTGCTGTTCCATCAACTGTGATATTGCTCCACGGGACCCTCGTTAGAAGGTTTGTCCACACGTGGGTTTACCTTCTTTACGAGGAGGGAGTTAAGCTCCTTCCCAAGAACACGCTTTGGCAGTAGCGGGTGATCTTTTCGAACTTCCAACTGCCTTGATTAGAGTTTTTTGCCACCTCCCTATATACTTAAGTAAAGTATATATACAAATTCTCCACAAAAAAATGTATTCCTTTTGGAATTAGTTCTCATTCCGAATTTGATGATAGTATTACTGTAGAGTCACATCAGCTGGAACAATGGTTGGTAGGAGCAAAGTCCAGCTGATTTCATTTACAGCAATACTTGTGTCAATTTAGCTACGATGTTTTCTTATTTAATTCCAGTGTTACACTATTTTTATCCAAACATTTTTTTACCATTTCTAAACGATTCCTCAAAGTATTCCAACTATACGTCGGGTCTGGCTGGTTACTTTTTCTGCAGAAATTGTCCAGCAACTTATTTCTTAAAGAGTAAGTTGTACCTGTACATTGCAAATGATATATTTAAGATATCTTAAATATTTCTTCAAAAAGAAGGGTAACCAGGAAAAAAACATGCCTTTGGTATTTTGAAGATTTAAGCCACCTTTTTAAAAGGAAGTGTTTCAAATTTGAGTGTAGATTTTCGCGATAATGAACAGAATTCATACTATAATTACTGATGGCATTACTGGCTGTGGCCGTTCATTTCGTGGCCCGTTTTTATATCTTTTCTTTATAGTACGGTTTTGTTATCCTTTGCTTTAGAAAAAATAAAGGATAAAGTCCACATTATCCACTTTTCATTATTACATCCTCCCTTTAAAAAAATATTTTTTTAGAGATATGACCAGTTATTTTGTAAATGTAAGTGGTACTAACTGCATTTTTTCATAGTGGCATCTTCATTTTAGAAATTGTTTGGCAACTTATTTCTTAAAGAGTAAATTGTACGTTTACATTGCAAATGATTTATTTAATATATCTTAAATAATTTTTCAAAACGTAAGCATGCCTTTGGTATTTTGAAGATTTAAGCCACATTTTTCATAGGAAGTGTTTCAAATTTGATTGATGATTTTCGCAATAGAGGCTCTGGCTGTGGCCCGTTTTTATAAATTTTTCTTTATAGTCCGGTTTATTATATTTTGCTTTAGAAAAAGTAAAGTATAAAGTCCACATTGTCCGGTTTTCATTGGTACATCTTCCCTTTAAAATAAATGTTTTTTCTAAGAGACATGGCAAGTTAATTTGTAAATGTGACTGGTACTCACTGCATTTTTTCACAGCGGAATCTTCATTTTAGCTTAAAAAATAAGTACATCGAATTTGCAATTAATTTCGTAAAGTAAAATTGTGTTACAGTATTTTTAGTAGTAAAACTAGCAGAAATGCCATAAAATGTCAACATTCAAAGTTCCAAAAGAAAATAGTCTAAATCGGACTGGTGAAACCTTACTGAAATGGACGCCAAAAATTAAAAAAATGAATATTGAAAATAAGTTAAAATTAATAATTATTTTTGAATGCTGTTTATTTAGAAAGTTTTGTTTTCAGAATGCGTTGAAGAGTATTTAGAGGTGGAGTTTTCTCAAATCCCAGCCCCGGAGAAGCTGACATGGTTGGAGGCGCCGGTTAAATTAATGTTAAGTCTGCTAGAAGACTTAATGCCACAAGCTGGGAAGACAGCCAACCTAAAAAATAAAAAGAAAATATTCGCAGTAATAAGCGAACATCTTTTACTTTAAACTTAATTTTTCAATTTACCTTTCACTAATTTTGTTTTCCAATACGTTTTCTTCGTCTGTTTCCTCATTCAGCCAGTCCTCTTCACTCCTGGAATCATCCAAAAGTGAATACATCACTTTCTCCATATTTTGTCTCTTTTTTTTGCACGTTTCTATATCTATATTAGTTTTTCTTTAGTTTTTAAGTTTATCTTTTTTCTTTACATTTGTTGTCACGCGCGAACTTTGACATGTATCAATACATTTTTCAACCTTGTTAGCCCTGCCAATTAAATGTCAAATTTACAATTTGCACATTTCTGCTCGGCCAAATTCATGTAGCTAAAACAAGCAGAAATGTGCACCACTCAGCGCCATTTTTTCGAGAGAGAGCTGCAAGTTTTGCTAGTTTTTGGAGTACAGGAAAGCTTTGTAGCAGAATCAGCACTAATTAGTACCAATTTGTAGGTTCTGGAACACAACTTAAATGTTTAATTCCCTTCTTCAAAATAAAATAAACGATTTACGTTATCATTTTTTAATTGAACACCTTTTTCGTTATTGTCATATTATCAATATAAAATATACCAAAATGAATTCAGTAAACTTTACGTTATAGATAGTTCATATTTAAATGAAACGTGTATTTGTCCGACAACATCATTTTAATAGATGTAATAGCCGGCCTATGTAGTTTCAATGTTTGGTATATCCTCATTTAACATTGCCGCCCCATTATAATATTTAAAGGTTTTAACAAATTCCCCAACCCAGTTCGCTGTTATTTGTTTCAAAGGTGAGAATACTTTTTTTTTTCTTTACTTGGTTAAATCATCGGCTTTTTTTTTCGGAAAAGAACATAGGAGCGTAGGGCCAAAATTTCACCTTAAGAGAAAATTCGTTTGAATACTGACTCCGGATTCTTTTATTTTCAAATGTTTTCTTTACCTCTTTGAATGGGAATTAAATGGTAGACCCGGCCGAACTTAACGTGTTTTACTTGTTCACATTATCTACAATATAGAAAAAAATGTTGTCATGACTTCCGCCAAAGTCGATGATAGATAGATAATAAGAGTCATTTTTTAAATACTTTGCAGAATAATTATAACATTTAAGGTGAGAGTACATGAAACGCTTTTTTGACTGTCCTTAGGTAATCGAGTGGCTTCTTCGTAGAGAAACAAAGTAGTCTTAAGGTGAGGGTACATACGTAGCTTGGCATCATGGCTAGGCATATTAATGTCAAATTATAAAGGGAAACGACGACGAAGTTGAGTTGGTTCGATTTTGGTCTTACGCTCCTTTTTTCTTTTCCGAAGAAACCAGCCGATGACTTAAGCTGGTCAAGAAAATCTTTTAAACCTGTTTCTACACTTTGCCGGTTGTTTTCCCTTAATCGATAATTCGCATTTCCATTCTGTCCTCAACAAATAAAAATTTTTTAAGTGCAGACATAACAGTCCGATCAGTCATCTCTACCTATTTCCGCAAGATATCACCTTTTTTATTGGGGAAGTCACTGAAGATGACAAATAACATGTTCGTCGTCTCAACTCCAACAACAAAAATATCAATATACACTTTATAAAAAACTCCACCATTTTAAAATGTCCATTAAAATTATGAAATAAGTACTACATGTTGAGGTAAGTGTAAACATCATATGATCAGTATTTACACGCAAATAAAAGTGGAGCCAGGTTTATAAAATTAGCTGAATATTATATAGTATAATATATTAATATTACTTTATTATATATTATTATCATTGTTATTATTAATTTTAGACAAACAAGGAAGTCGAAATTATCGATTATCTACAATTGGCGGATTTAAATCCTTATATGGTTGTTGGCGCTAGAGGATGACGAATTTAACAATGTCAAATAAAACGACAAAAGGCTAACAAATTGACAATGCGTTTATTTCTGTAAAGAAAGTACATAAGTAATAGGCAAACACTTTTTACATTATCACTTACCGCAGTTTTGCTCCTCTCTTTTCAAGCGCCAAATTATTACTTGATGCGCACATACGAAACAAGGAAGACGAAAGGGCAAAACTACAGTGTTGGTAATGTTTCGGACACATAATTACACTACTATTTATACAACACTGATTAAACACTAAGGGGATCCACGACACCCCCACCCCCGTGTAGCGATCAGCTTCACCATCAACCAGGTCGAGAATGGCCAGCTTAGACATAGGTCTCTGGAGCACACCACTCTTTGTTTTTACATCCGCTCGTCTCGCCACACCATCGGACCCCTGATGGACTTTGACCACTATTCCACGGCACCATTGATTCCTAGGCATATTCGGGTCACATATAAAGACGACATCTCGCTCCTTGATAGGACTAACCTGCTCGCGCCACTTTACCCTTCTCGTCATTGTGGGAAGGAATTCTATCACCCATCGTTTCCAAAGTCGATCGCGGAGACACTTTAGCACACGCCATTGCTTTCGAAGAGCAGGAAGTCTCTGATCTGGCTCATTAACCGCAGGAGTTTGTGAGACATTGCCGTACCCCAATCAGGAAGTGATTTGGAGTAAGAGGCTCCACATCACTGGCAGATGCGTGAATTAACAATATTTTCCGCTTCTATCAGCAGCAAAAGCAAAACATGCTCCTTAGGAGAAATGTCTTTCAGCGTTTGGCGCAACACCTTTTTAACACACTGCACCATTCGTTCCCACACGCCACCCTCCGAGGGGTTTGCGGGGCAATTAAAAAGCCACTCCACGCCATTCGCTGAGAGCTCATCTTGAATACGACCAATGTCAAATACATCAGAGAATCGTTTGGCTTCCTCGCTGACGCCGATGAAATTCTTTCCGTTATCGGATCGTATACGATGTGGCACACCTCGCCGGTTGATGAAATTTCTAAGGCACATTATAAAGCTATCAGTCGATTTATCGAGTGAATAGCTCGTACAGATAGGCAAGTGAATAATGCTACCCAACGCTTTTCAGTTCTTCGCCCAATGCTCACAGTAAGAGGACCGAAGTAATCAACACCTGTATAATTGGTCGCCTAGTGTTGTATGGCAAAGAGCTGGCTGCATCAATACGGCCATGCACGCGCAGCAAACCTTCGTCATCAATGTAAGGCGTAAGCATTTTTAAGCAGTTGTTTTTTGGCAGTGGTTTGAACTGCTTAATGCATGCTATTTGCTAAGTATGAAGCCTTTTGCGTCTGCATAATGAGGTATTTTTCTGCCTTGGCTAGCTCGCCAGCAGACAGGCCATACCTCCACATCTCGTCCCTTTTACCACGCAACGGGCGATAAAACGAATTAACCAGGCAAAACTTCGAATTATTCGTGATAGGGATGAAAATTGGGCAAATTCAATCAACGACGTTTGTTGTACCAGCAGGCACCTTTTTGAGCTTATTTCTTCTTCTTCTCCCAGATGTTCCTCTATTCCACAAAAACTTGGCCATTCACTTTCCTTAGTTCTCAAAAAACCTGGTCCCATGAGCCATCGAGATCTCGGGGAAAAATCTATTTTATTTGAGAAGCGTGTAGCTTCATCGGCAATATTGTCATCCGTCGAGACCCACTTCCAGTTACAAACATCCGTTGTCGATAGGATTTCTGCTACTCGGTGTGCAACATACGGTTTGTATCGTCTGTGTTTGCTGCCGATCCATTTTAAGACCGTTTTGGAGTCACTCCATAGCGTAAACGATTTTGGAGAAAAGTCATGGCCTTCCAAAATATGTTGCAGCAAACGAGTGCCGAGTACTGCGGCTTGAAGTTCTAAACGAGGTGCTGAGACAGTTTTTAAGGGCGCGCATTTTGTTTTGGAAGTAACAAAACTGACGTGTATTTCGTTGCCAACCTCATATCGCCAGTAGGCAACTGCGGCAAATGCAAACTCGCTCGCATCAACGAATATGTGAAGTTGGACTTCTGTTGGAATCCCAAAGGCAAAGTAGCAACGAGGAATACGAACGTCTGCTGCGTTATACAGTTGTTTTCGCCACATCTCCCAGGATTGGGCCAGATCAACTGGAATCTCTTCGTCCCATTTGCATTCACTGCGCCATACTTCACGTAAAATTAACTTTCCACCGACTATAAAGCAGCTCAGAAAGCCCAGGGGATCAAAGGTAGACATGATTATGCTTAAAAGTTCACGTTTGGTCGGAGTTTTTTGACCAGTAATTACGGAGTTGTCGACCCGGTGAAATTTTAGGTGAAAATGAAAGTCATCTGAAACAAAATCCCAGTATACGCCTAAGACTTTTTCAGACCCTTCCTTGGCAAGCACATTTGCGTGGATGCGGCGTATATCGAGTGATATTTGAATGGCTTGTTCAATACTATCGAAGCTATCTACATAGTCATCTATGTAATGGTGTTTAATGATGGCTTTGATTGATCTGGGATTGCATTGGTCATTCTGAAGGGCATTCATTTTTAAAACAAAACGAGCTGAGCACGGCGAACATGTGGCTCCGAATGTCATGACCTGCATTTCATACTCATCCCTTTGTTTGATCACCATCTCTCCAGAGAAAACGTTGGCTTATACGATCTTCAGGCTGAATAGAAATTTGATGAAACATTTCACGTATATCGGCACAAACGGCTACTTTTCCACGACGAAAGTTGTAAAGTATATTTGGCAATAGTTCGATGTCCTGTGGTCCCTTTAGCAAATGTGAGTTTAAGGATACTCCATCAGTTTGGGCGGCTGCATCAAAAACTAACCGAATCTTTATAGGCTTGTTCGGATTGGTCACTCCGAAGTGCGGCAGATACCATTTTCTTGTACTAAAAATATTTAGCTCTTTGTCCGATAGCTTCCGTACATATCCTTTTCCAATGTATCCAGTCACGATTTCTCTATCCCCTCCAGGCGCTTTAAAGCTGTACCGTAGCTGTCGGGCAAGATGACGTCATCAGTTTTCCATAAAAGTCCAGTTTGAAAACGATTACCAATTCTGACTGTTGTATTTTCAAGAGTCTTCTTAGCCCTGATGTCATCACAACTCTCAACAGGAGGAGCTGGCCTCACGCCAATACTGTGCCAGTTAGTAAGGAGGCATAAGTTTGACGGTTTTGGAGCAACATTTGAACATGGACCGTATATTGTCCAGCCGAGTTTTGTACTGCAGGCAATAGGGCATGAGGCTTCAGAGTATCTCGTTGTAATAGGCATGCCTAGATGAGCGTGGTCTAGGCCAATGAGAAGTTTGGGCACGATGATAAATTTGCTCCGTGGTATTAAGCAGAACTCTGCGTTTGACTTCTCGATCAACGTAATAAATACTATTGATAAGGCTTGCTTCTTCACTTATCCAGTCGCTAAAGTGGATGATTGTTGGGTAAGGATGAATCTGCATGGCCACTTTGGCCCATTCCAGCTTCTTGCTCATTGGCAATTTATAGATAAGCTCTTCCAGGAGCGTTGGATTGGCTAAATGTTGCTGCCCGTTGGCACTCTGCAGAAATACTGCTAAATTTTTTACTTTGGTGGCAAACGAAACTACTTTCCCAACATTTTGTTCTGAAATTTGGGGAAATTCACGTATACTTCGCAATTGGCTTTGAATTAGCTGCTCGGGTCTTCCGTATCTGTGCCGCAGCTGCTCCACTGCTGCGTTGACGTTGTCTGGATGTATTAATAAACACTTTACAGTTTCACGAGCATCACCCTTTAAGCATTTCAACAAACGCTGATTAGTTTGTGTAGTTATACGCTGCAGTGGATTGAACAAACGATGTAAAAAATATAGGCCAATCTTCTGGCTGTCCACTAAATTCAGGCAAATCTTGGAGTTTTCTTAGGTTGGCTATATTTCCCAAGCAACTCCCCGCGGCAGCTATTTGTGCGTAAACGGAGTCAGGGGTTTGCGGCATTGTTGTACCCGCTGCTCCTGCTATGGATTTCGCTGAATAGGTACTGGTTAACGGCGTTGAAAATATTGAGGTAGATGCTAATTGCGCAGCAGTAAATATACGGGGCGGCTGCAAAGTGTTCGTTGCGTGAGCGGTAGAGCTAAAGGCAGTAGCTACGTACGCTGGCGTTGTTATGGTGGCGACATTCTGTGATGGCATTAATTGTGTAGAAGTATACATATGTGGCGACGTCGACGTTAATGCTGCGACAGAATCAAGAGGCGGTAGCAGTGGCACAGGCGTTGTCGCGGCCGTGGTCATGACAGTGCATGGTGCATTTGTTAATTGGCTTATACTTACATGTGACTGTAATGGCGGCGCTAGGTGCAATGATGGTGGTTCGCAAATGCGAAATAAAAATTGTTGGCGCTAGAGGATGACAATGTCAAATAAAATGACAATGTCAAATAAAACGACAAAAGGCTAACAAATTGACAATGCGTTTATTTCTGTAAAGAAAGTACATAAGTAATAGGCAAACACTTTTTAGATTATCATTTACCACAGTTTTGCTCCTCTCTTTTCAAGCGCCAAATTATTACTTGATGCGCACATACGAAACAAGGAAGACGAAAGGGCAAAACTACAGTGTTGGTAATGTTTCGGACACATAATTACAGTACTATTTATACAACACTGATTAAACACTAAGGGAATTCACGACAATGGTAAAAAGTACTTGGCGTATCAACACCAAAAATGCATATTCCTTCCATTACACAATTACAGAAGGTTGTTCTACTTCCTTAACATTTATACCCTCCACCTTGGAAAGGAGGGTATATTAACTTTGTCATTCCGTTTGTAACATCCTAAAATGTTCGTCGTAGACCCCATATATATATTTACAATCAGCATAAAATTCTAAGTCAATTTAACTATGTCCGTCTGTCTGTTGAAATCACGATAGAGCCCACATTATTTGAAGTAGAGCGGAGTAATTTGTATTGTGTCTAGGATGGTTGGTATTGAAAATGAGATATATCGGTCTCCATATAACGGTACCAACCGATATTCGGTATTTTGATGGTTTTTGCCACATTTTTTCACTGATTTGTCTGAAAATTGGTATTTGTAGATCATAATGTGTCCTACTTCATGTGGCGAAACATTGTATGTATAGGTCCACGTTTTAGTATACTCCCCATATAACGGTACCTCCCGATATTCGGCATTTTGATGATTTTTGACACATTTTTCACGGATTTCTCTGAAAATTGGTAGTTGTAGGTCATAATGAGTCCCAGTTCGTGTGGCGAATCATTGCATGTATAGGTCCACGATTTGGTATAGCCCCCATATAACGAAACCTCCCACATTTCTTCGCGAATTTCTTTTGGCGAAACACTGCATGTATAGCCCACCACGTTTTTGTATAGCCCTATATAGCCGTATTTCCCGATATTCGGCATTTTCATGATTTTTGGCACATTTTCCCATGAATATGTCTAAAAATTGGTATATGCGGGTCATAATGGGCTCTTATGTTTCCTTTACGCTAAGGTGAAGGGTATTAAAAGTTTAACCCGGCCGAACTTAATGTTTTTTATACCCTCCACCATACATAACATGCAGGGTATATTAAGTTCGACTTTCCGTTTGTAACTCATCGAAATAATCATTTTAGACCCAACAAAGTATATATATTCTTGATCAGCGTAAAATTCTAAGACGATTTAGCCCTGTCCGTCTGTTGTAATCACGCTACAGTCTAAACGAATTAAGATAGGAAGCTAAAATTTTGCACATATCTCTCTTTTGTCTGCAGGCAGCTTAAGTTCGAAGATGGGCTATATCGGTCCACGATATCGTAAAACCCCCATATAACGGTACCCCCCGATATTCGGTACTTTGATGATTATAGCCACATTTTCTAATGGAATGGTCTGAAAATCCACACAAGGAGTTACTTGTGGTTACTTCATCCCTTGAAAGAGAATTATCTATATAGGTCCACGATATCATATATCCCCCATATAACGGTACCCTCTGATATTTGGTATTTGATGATTTCAGCCATATTTTTCAACGGAATTGTCTGAAATTCCACACAAGGGGTTCTTTGTGAGCACTTTACCCCCTGACATAGAGTTCTTTATATATGTATAACGATATCGTATAGCCCCTGTAAAAGTTTTTTACTAGCGGCAGTGGTACAAGATGCTTTTGGCTGCGGCTTAGCTCGCCTGATGTGTTGGTTCTTTCTGCGCATCGACTGTACACATAAAATTTGTTTGTACCGGGATTTTGTGTTACGAAATTTAAAGCATGCCTATTAAATATTATATTATTTCCATTTGAATAGATTTTTTAGCTTTTATTATGGTAACCAGAATGAATTATGACCTTTAAAATAATTTTTTATTGATTTTTTTATTTAGGTTTCGAAATACTGTGCTTTTGTGTTGCCCTATGTATGCTCTTAGTTAGGGTATAATTAAATTTCCTATACTTAACACATTTACATCAATGATATTTCTTGTTTTTTTTTACTTTTGAAATATATAATGTATTATTAGATGTACAAATGTGCGTTTTCTTTAAAACATATTTTTGATTATAAACCCGCTTTTATAGGTTAAGATTTGAATTTTTCTTTGTTAATTTTTCGTCTTTCTTTCACAGTTTTTATTTTTATGGTAACAATTCACAATGTTCTATCTTGGGAATGGGAATAATGGGAATTTTTTTCTTTGAGTATGATGGTTCTAACACATGGTTCTTCCTTCTTAATTGGCGTGTTGAAATTTTTTGGAACTAGATGTCTCTAGATATTGTACAATCATGTCTCCATCTATCTATAGTTTCTTTGGTCATTATCGCTGGTTCTGACATGTGATTTTCTTTTCGTATTTGGTGTGTTGATTTTGTTATAAGATAGATGTCTCCATATCGGATTTTGATGTTACCATCTATCTAGCGTTTTTGGACGGAACTTCTTAAAGAAATCTAGAGTTTACCCTAAGGAATATTGTGGCCAGACCCATATAGGTTTTACTGGATTTAGACCACAATATTCTTTTTAAGAAAGAATAGATTCACATCTAAATGACCAATTCAACACAAAAAGTATATTAAATACGAGTTATTCTTACCCAAGGTGATAATTTAGTTAAAGTATTTAATAAAAAAATGTGTTGAGTTTTTCGTATGGATCACTATCTTGCTTTTAGCACACACAAATTTTTTTTAATAAAATTAAAAAAAATCACTATGAATAAAGCTTCTTTGGCTTCTAAACTTAACCACAATTACAATTGTTACTTTATTTGACCGCTGTTTGATATAGAAAAAAGAAAGATGAAACGTGGTTTTAAGTTCAATGTGACATTTAAGTTACATTTCCTATGACACATATGATCACTTATTGAAATGTAACCATGGTGGAACCTATTCAAAACCAGGGACCTCAAAGTTAATGAAGTCGATATTCGACTTTGTATTTAAATGTACTCTGTAAGTTAAAATGGCATACAATACGTTTGTATATCAATTTTTGGTAATTTGTAATAATTATTACAAATGTTTCCAATTTTGTTAGCTGTTTTTTTATAGGTGGATAAAGAAAGTGTTTATGCAATATTCTGTAAGTAGAAATAAACACCAAGAATAAATTCAGAGAAGTCGTATAAGTTAATATTAATTTTATATGAAATTTTTAGAGTGAAAGTTCCATCAAGACTTTGTTTAGACAACGATGCAATTAATAAGGAGAGTCAAAAGCTACAACAGCATGATTATTTTGATTGGAATTGCATCAAACTGTCTAGATTTTTGTTTACGCTTTTGTAGAATTACAATCGATTTATCAAGTTGTCATTTTTTTTATCTAATTTATATCAAATATTTATGAGATACCAAAAGAATAACTAAACTTGTCAACCAAAACAGAACACATTGAGAGGTGCCATCATTGTTAAATTTATATTAAAATTACTATAACATAAATTAGAAAATTTAAATGAGATGCTCTATTAAAACATGTTAAAATCTTATGGCGTATCGTTAATTATACGCTTGAGTTCTTTGACCGACCGTCGTATATCAGAACAGGAGCGCCTTTTTATTTGGTGTGAGATTTGAGAATTTTTTTTATGAAGAACAAATTAAAAAAAAAAAAAACATGAATATAGGCAATATCAGTAGTTATCACACCCCCATATAACGGTACCCCCGTTATTCGGTATTTTGATGATTTTAGCTATATATTCCAATGGTATTTTCTGAAAATCCACACAAGGATTTCTTTGTGAGTACTTTAACCCCTGAAAGGTATTTGTCTATATAGGTCCACAATAACGTATATCCCCCATATAACGGTACCCCAGATATTCGGGATTTTGATGATTTTAGCCACATTTGCAATGGAATTATCTGAAAATCCACACAAGGAGTTCCTTGTGAGTACTTTACCCCAGACATAGATTTGTCTATATAGGTCCACAATATCGTATATCCCACCATATAACGGCACCTTTCGATATTAGGTATTTTAAAGATTTTAAAAGATTTTTCAATGGATTTTATTTTTTCAATGTTCAAAGTTCGGCCCGGCCGAACTTACTGCTTTTTTTCTTGTTTTTACTTGTTTATTCTGCTCTTATTCTGTCAAAACATATACATACTTTGTGTATGTGTGTATTGTTGTGTTAAACTTATTTCGAATTCATTTGTAAAATTAAAAGTGAGAGGACATAAAACGCTTTTTGACTGGCATAAGTCATCGGCTGGATTCTTCTTAGAGGAACAAAGCAAAGACATAGAAGTGAAAAGATGGGACAAGACAGAGTCAAAATTGGCAACCCTGTGAAAATACCTCTATTGTTTGATATCATAACAACATAGTTACCAATATTAACTGATTTAAACCTCTAAAGCAATATGCAATTTTTTTGAAAGGTCTATGGAATATGATAGAATAGAATTTTGAAACCACATTGTTGGATTTTCCAATCTTTTATTTGTCATTTTCTTCGGTGGTTTTCATATTAACAAGCCTCTGTCATGAGCTGTTACTTTATGTATTGTAGACTTAACCATTTCCTCAAAATGCATTTTGTCTAGTCTTTACCATTCTTTGAACAAAGGAGTTTTAGGTCGACTTAATTCTATTTTCGCCCTACGCTCCTTGGTTCTTTTGCTAAGAATACAGTCGATGCCTTAAGCCAGTCAAATAAGTGTTTTATGAATTCTCAACTTAATCCATATATTCGACTTTAGTGGGCAACAAATTGAACAATTTTTGGGATAAAATTGTATTGTCCTTTTATCTTATGTCCGTCTGTCTGTTGAAATCACGATACAGCCCACATTATTTGACGTAGAGCGCCAAAATTTAGCAGAGTAATTTGTATTGTGTCTAGGATGGTTAGTATTGAAAATGAAAAACTGTCCACGTTTTTGTATAGTCCCCATACAACGGTACCCCATGATATTTGGTATTTTGATGATTTATGCCACATTTTTTCACGGATTTGTCTGAAAATTGGTATTTGTAGGCCATAACGGGTCCCAGTTCGTGTGGCGAGACATTGAATGTATAGGTCCACGCTTTGGTATAGCCCCCATAAAAGGTACCTCCCGATATTCGGTATTTTGATTATTTTTGCCACATTTTTTTTCACGG